ACTTCACAAAACAGGTGGTTCTTCTACTTCAAAAAAAATCTGAATCAATAATTCCAAATACGTAACGAATGTTTGCGCGACTTGTTTGTGCAACAAGAAACGAAGAAACGCGACCTAATTTCAAATTTCATTGTACAATATGACGACGCAAGTTTGTGCACGCGAAATCCCTAATTGCTAAATGAAAACAGGCGTTTTCGTTTCAGCACGCGATTAAAGAATCGCGACCGTCCGGTGTAATATTCGTCTGATTCGATCGATTCTTTCAAATTTCTCGTTACTATCGTATGAGGAAGCGCGCGGATAGTTTGTCGAACACGAGGTGTCGATTATCCCCGGGGGAGGGGGGAGGAAATTGGAATCGATAAGTCGGCGTTGAAAGTCACGATTTTCACAGTTGGCGATTTCTTTTTGTTTCACAAAGATAGATAGATAGATAGAGAGAGAGAGAGAGAGAGAGGAGGTCGGGGTATCCAATTACAATTGGAAACCCGCGATCCAATCGCGATATCAACTCGGAAAGCGGAAGATAGGGACATCCCCGACGCTATTGTCCCCAACATTGGCACAATGGCCGCCGACGCGGACGTCTTTCGCGCTCCGTTATCTCGCGTCGCGTCGCGGCAATCCACCCTCGCGACTTTCTCCCCCCTCCGCTTCGACGTCGATCTCACCCCTTTTGTCAGGCCAGACAACGTCCACTATTTCCAGTTACCAAATGTATCTCTGCGTTGCTTGTCGAGTCGGATAATGACGGAAGCGGGACCCACCAACCCCCCGCCGCCAGTTGAAAAGTTGCGTTAGTTTTCTGTCGACCGGGGGAACTGGGGAGGAGAAGCTCGGGCAGTTGGCAAGCGCGAAAGTTTTCGGTGATTTTTTTGGGGGGGGGGGGGGGGGGGGGGGTTTTTTTTTTTTTAAAAAAAAAAAAAAAAAAAAAAAAAAATTTTCTGTTTTTTTTTTGGGGGGGGGGGGGAGGGGGGAGGATTTACGAATTTTTACGAGTCGAATGCACAACTCGGCGACAAAATTGGGATAAGTCGACGGAAAAGTTGAGATAAATTGAGACGTTCTGCGTTCGAATATTTCTCGAGAAGACAGATACGGTTTTGTATAATGACTTGGATAAGATCGCAAAAACTTGATAATAGTGTTAGTATTAAATATAATAATATGATAATAGTATTAGTATTAAATATAATAATATGATAATAGTATTAGTATTAAATATAATAATATGACAATAGTATTAGTATTAAATATAATAATATGATAATAGTATTAGTATTAAATATAATAATAAACTAGTATTAGTACTTGGTCATAGTATTTTATCTGTAATAGTCTAATATAAATAAAGTGTGACGATAAAATTAGGATAAATCGACAGTTAATATTGGTAATGGTTAAACTATTTTATTTTATCTGCAATAGTCTAATAGTCTAATTAGGATAAATCGGCAGTTAATATTGGTAATGGTTAAACTATTTTATTTTATCTGCAATAGTCTAATAGTCTAATTAGGATAAATCGACAGAATAGTTAATATTGGTAATAGTTAAACTATTTTATTTTATCTGTAATAGTCTAATATAAATAAAGTGTGACGACAAAATTAGGATAAATCGACAGAATAAATAAATTGGACGAAAAAATTAGAATGTTTCACGTTCGAATATTTCTTGAGAAGACACGTCGTTTTATATAATGATTTGGATAAGATTGTAAAAACTTGATTGGTAATAGTTAAACTAGTATTTTATCTGTAATAGTCTAATATAAATAAAGTGTGACGACAAAATTAGGATAAATCGACAGAATAAATAAATTGGACGAAAAAATTAGAATGTTTCACGTTCGAATATTTCTTGAGAAGACACGTCGTTTTATATAATGATTTGGATAAGATTGTAAAAACTTGATTGGTAATAGTTAAACTGATATTTTATCTGTAATAGTCTAATATAAATAAAGTGCGACGACAAAATTAGGACAAATCGACAGAATAGTTACAATAAATTGGACGAAAAAATTAGAATATTTCACGTTCGAATATTCCTTGAGGAGACACGTCGTTTTATATAATGATTTGGATAAGATTGTAAAAACTTGATTGGTTAAACTATTTTATCCGTAATAGAAGTAAAGTAAAGTAAAATAATAATATAGTAAAATAATAATAAAGTAAAAGAATAAATTCGACGAAAAATTGGAATCTTTCACGTTCGAATATTCCTTGACAAAATACATTGTTTTCTAGAAAAATTTGAATAAGATCACTCGAAATTTGATTGATAGCAAGTAAAGTATCTGTAACAAATAAAGTATTGGTAATACATATCGCTGTTAGATGAAGCATTTAAATGATTTAATTTAAAAAATCGGGAGTTTCGAAATTTTGGCGTTTAAAATTTATTCTGGGATTAGAAGTAAGTGACACGTTGGAATGTAAATTTGGTGATAGCAGCGAGAAGCCTCCCTAAATTTTCTGCAGGTTGAGACCGTGGAGAATGCGAGGACGTAACGTGGGGTTGTTAAACACGTTCCTAATTTAGGGGACCAGCCTGCAATTTCAACCGCTGTCTGAAATCTCGCGTCCCCTTGAGTTAACGATACATCGATCGCAGCCAGAATTCTTCTCAAATATTCTCTCTCTTTCTCTCTCTCTCTCACGAGGAAATTTTGTAGATCAAATTCCAGAAGCATAATTTTGTTCAATAGGTATCGAAACAGTCGATCGACCCGATCGAGCGAAACGAATTTCCGTGGCGCAAACAAACTCAAACAACAGATATCGAACTCGAATCAAATTTTAATCGAGTTGTTCATTCGCGTTCAACAACCTAACGATGGAATTTAATTAATGGTGGTCGAACTTTCGTTGCTTTCACATCCAAACGTTCAGTTCCTTGCCAAATCTGGATCTGATGTGTATTAGAAACGCTTATTCCTAAATTTCAGAAAGCGTAAAAGTATTCGAGTGTTCGAGAATATTTGACTCAAAAGACAAAATTCAATTCTTCGCAGTACCTAGTTACTAGTCCTTTTACTAAATTTTCAAGTGTTCACGCGTATAATACGAATATATATATATATATATATATATATATGAAATGTTCAAAGTAGAGCTGTAAATATATTTCACGGGTGATGTAATTTTTTTACCGAGGTCCTAGTTCCTTTTTCATCGTACTCTCAAAATTACGAGCTTAAGCAAGCAAAAAATTAATTGTTCGCCTATCCTGATTTGAAAGCATCGTTTTATAACATATTCTTCAAACAGTTGGTCACTCTACAAATTCGTAACTCCTATTTTGGAACCAACCTATTCAACGACTGACCAAACAAATTAAAATTCATCACGAAACGAAATTGGATGCACATGTCAGTCTGACTGTAAGTTTCGACTCGATTGAGAGGCACCATCGTCGACGCGTTTCTCAAATTTTCCCAAACAATCCTGTACGGACGTCTTGTTCGTTAATGCTCTTCGGTGGGAGGGGATGGAAGGGGAGCAGGTGGTGGTCTATATACTAGGGGGTCGAACCGTATGGGGTGGAAAGGATGTATCGATTTCACCGGCGAACCAGTGTTAGCCGGCGTAAGTGACGAGGTGTCGTATAAATTACCGGAATAAACGAGCCAGGTGTGCTTGACTTTGGCCGTTCGCGCGACACCGTTCACCTGACATCCACAGCTGTGACAGGCCAGCATCCTGCAACCGGCGATTGGTCCACTCTGGTTGCCAGAGAGAGAGAGAGAGAGAGAGAGAGAGAGAGAGAGAGAGAGAGAGAGAGAGATACCAATTGAATCTGGACAATTCCTGAGCGTCGTTCGACTGTCGTTGCATCGCCCCAACGATGGATCCTAATGAGCTTTCGCGATTGCTACCTGCCACGTTTCCGTCCTTCTCGTTCCTCTCCAGCCGATTCCGATCGGCGCCATCATACAGCTGCGCGCGCGGATTAGACTTGTCGCGTACGAACATTCCGCGTCAGCGTTTCATTTATTTCCTTCTTTTTTTTATTATTTTTTTTATTTTTTTCGTTACTGGATGAGAAGCGAAACGATATTTCCGCCCTTTGACGACTTATATTATATTATATTTTTATAATAACGGGAGCTCCTCCGCGAGAAAGTGTTTCCACCGGAGAATAATATTCATATATCACACGAGATTTTTACACGACAATTATAAAGTAATTCGAGACGATCGATCCGAAGAGGATTAATACAGAGGATCAGCGTCGAATTTTTTCGCAGTGGATCCCTCCCCCGATCCGCGAAATTGGATTTCCTCGCTGAACAACGCCAAACATCAGCAGCCGTTCATTTTCCCTCATACACGTCGAAACAGGCGAAGAGCAAAAAAAAAAAAAAAGAAAGAAAGAAAGAAAGAAAAAGAGAAAAGAGAGACGCCCTCTAATAATCGAGTGATACCTGGGTGTTCGCGTTTCTCGAAGTAAGCCGGAAACGAGTGCAGAAACTCGATTAAAAAACTGACCGAGCCCAGCGAGCGCATATTCGTTTGCATCGTGCTCGAGGGACACGTCGGAGGCGCGATAACGACAGTTCTTTATATTCCGCCTACGTCCGATATAACGAATCCTCTCGTTAGCACGATTTCGACCATCTCCCTTCCTCCCTTGTACCTTGTGCATCCGCCATTCTCTCGTTTCCAATGACGCTGGACTCTACTCTACTCTGCTACCCTGTACTCCGTTCCTTGCTCTTTTTGTTTCTTATTCCTTTTTGCCCTCGAACGATCACGCGCTTGGCGACAGATTTTAATTAGCGATATATGCGATCGAACTTCAGCCTCGCCCCCTCTCGATAAGTCTTGTCTTGTTTTCTACCCTGTTGCAACGAACCCATCCTTCCTCGACATTGTATTCCTGCTCGAATGTCTCGAATTTTGTTGCTTGTCTTTTTTTCTCTATCTCTCGTCGTGAAAAATGTCGACTCCGCGAAGCGACGCGACGCCCCTTAGGTTTCTTTCTGTTTTATCGAGGTATTCCCTTCTATCTCGTCGCGTTCGTCATTTTAATCGCGGACGAATTCAACTTTCTTTTTTTTTTCTCTTCGTCTCTCCTTTTCTTTCTCTTTTTTCAGAGCTTCTTATCGTCTTCTTTGCCAACGTCGCGCCGATTCCGGCAAACGCGAAGTTCCCCAGATAAGGAGTTTTTTTTTCTTCCTTTTGTTTCCATTCCAAATACCCGACCGTCTCCTGCTACCCCAACTTGCCACCAACTTCCGTGAAATTGGACTCGTTATATCATTCTACTCTTTCTTTTTTTTTTTTTTTTTCTTTTAATTACCCTTTCTATTCATGCTTCATCCTCTCTTCTTCTCTTTCCCTTTCGTCTGACTTCTGGAAAAAAAAAAGCTTGAAGGGGCATTTTTCAGCGGTTGTTTTCTATTTCCACCTGTTTTTTTTTTTTTTTTTTGTTTTAATCTCATCCTCCTCCTCTTCGTCTTCTTTTTTGTATCGCGGAACGGGAGGTAGCTGATGAAAGCGACACAAGCTTTAAGCGCTTTTGTCCTGCAGCGTTTGAGGGCCGCGTCGGGCTTAATAGTGTTGAGCTTCGTTAACGGAAACGCTCGCGAATGAAAATATTTCCTGATGAACTGACGTCCCTGTTAATGTTCCCTCCTTTCACCTCGCTTCTCCTTTCTCCGTCGGGAATTTCTTTCGGCCGAGGATGCCTCGTTACAGCCGAATGAATTTGTTTCTTTTCTTTTCTCTTTTTCTTTTTTGCGTTCGTTCAGAACGATATCCTAGCTTAAAGATGCCCTTGGTTAACGAGAGTTTCATTAGCGGAAACGTAAATAGGTTTCATCATCGTGCAATTTACACTGTGAGCTAATTTCTTTGGCTGTCCCTTTCACTCTAATGGATTTTAGAGAGCAAGAAGCGCGACAAGTAACACGCTTCTTGCCAATGGCATTTATTGCCTCGGGCTAATTTCAGGGACCGATGAAGCCTACAACATCACGATATATTAACGCGAAATGTTACAAGAAGCAGGATTAAATTCCTAAACGCCCTAAACGGGATAATATTGAATCGTGTCCGGCGTATGTAAATTCGTCACGTTTTTTTATCCAGCCACTCGCCGTCGTGTTTCTTTTTATTGCCAAGCAATTTCCAATCTTTCGCGAAATATTTAAAGTCTCTCCGACTTTAGAAGAGTCCATATATCTTGTTCTTCAGGAAATTATTATATACAAGAACGAAGGTAACGAACAACGAGCCATAAATTATTAAATCTTTTATTAAATCAACAACAATCGCAGAAATGTGTCTCCGTTGAATATCACTTGAATGAACTTGTTAGCGTGACATTATCAAACCCAAGGTAAACTAATAACAATAACCTACCACACGATAGCGGTTCAAAGGGCCCATTCGACATTCCTGAGGCTCGAAGTGTCGACGACAGATCTCCCTTAACAAGAACCATCCCGTATCCGTATATTCTCGTGGAAAGGAGAAAACAAAAAAAAAAAAAAGAAAAACGACAACAACCCTAGTGGGGCCGTCGTTTCACGCGTGCCGTTTGGACGCCATTAAAAAACGGTCGTTCCCGTTCCCGTATCCACGCTCTGTGCAAATCGTCTGTCTATAGCACGCAGGTACCATTGAACATCGCATTAAATTCCCCCCTGCCCCCCCTGGGGAGAGTTCGAAAACAGACAAATAGTTTATCTCGCGTTGGAAACTGGTCAACGCTCCCGCGGCTGCCAGATTCCAATAGCATTTTTTCATCCGACTGCCTAACCGATCCGCCGCGTCGATTCAAGCGTCGAGGTAAATGGAATAGCCTGGTATCAAGGGGAATATCTGGAGCAACGCACGAAATGGTCGACGATTCGAAAGCTTTCAAGCTAGTCGGGGCTAACCACGATCCCACTCCTCTGGTTCTGGCGTTTCACTCCTCTTGCGGAGACTCTTCAGCCACCCCATTGCTCCCTTCCTCTCTCTCTCTCTCTCTCTCTCACTCTCACTCTCACTCACTCACTCTTTCACTTTGTCTGTCTCGTTCTCTCGGTCGTTCTGTGTATATACTCGTCTCCCTCCTCTGTTGGCTCTCTATCTCTCGAAACCCTTCGGCCAGGCCGCAGGATAATAGCGATCGTCATTTAGCCACTTCCGGCGGTTCGATAGCGTTGCGCGATTTACATGAAAATCTTCTCTGGAATTTCCAGCGAGATTGCGCGGACCACCGAGAGGGAGAGACAGGCTGTTTCCCTCGATTGGAGGCTGATCGTTTCCCTCCTTCGGGTTATTTGCCTCGGCTGGCCGTTGCCACCGTGATTTTCGCGAGTTCCTAATCCGATCATGCGGTCATCATTGACCGTGTGAGTCCAAGTGGCAACGATCTAACTGGCAAGAATCCAGCAACATTGAAGTCATTCGTCTCCCGTCTTAATTTTCGCATAGTTGCTGATTCGGGCAAGGAATTTTGTAATAGAGACCGAGCTGAAGAAATATTTCTTTTTGCATGTTTAATAAAATCATAATTTCACATATATAATAATTTTATAATATGTATAATTATATATATATATATATATATATATATATATATATATATAAAATTTTATAATAACATATGTACAATAATTTTCTTTTTACGTATCGTAATCGAAATTTATATATGCAGGGTGTTTCATAATTAGGTACAAATTGGGTCAAGTAGACTCTACGGCTGAAAATAAGACGAAAATCAAGAATAACGAAATTACATGGGAGACTTTTCGAGAAAATTTGACCTAACACCTTTAGACTTTTATTTCTAGGGAAGCGTAAAATGAACAGTCTATTCTGCAACATTTAAAATAGCGAGTTATCGTAGCATTTTGTAGAAATGGAAGAAACTGTGATACGCAGGAAGGAAACATAATGCAAGATCTAATTGGAAAATTACAACTTTGCATACGAGAAAACGGATAACACTTTGAACAATATCTTGACTGAAAACAACAAACTAAATTCAACGAATTATACGAATACACTGATTATTTTATTATTCTGCGTTTAATGTATTTTTCAATCGTATCCTGATAGTAAACAAGCCCTGACATTTTACCATGTACAAAAACGGTCTGTAGTGAAAAACGTGATATCGATTATTTATCAACTCGACTGATATTTGAATTTAATTTTCTCGAAAACCAAGCCTCGCACGTAATTTCGTTTTTTCTTTATTTTCGTCTTATTTCCTATAGAATCTACCTGACAAGAATTATGAAACACCCTGTATATGTATAATAATATATGTATAATAATTTTACATACATATATATATATATATATATATAATTTTATAATAATATATATACAATAACTTTTTTTTACGTGCAATAATCGAAATTTATATATATAAAATTTCGATTCTTTATTTCATTCTCCGGCATAATTGATCTCAATAATAAATCGTCATCGGAAATGTGTGCGTTGGCGAGAAACGCGAACAACAGTTATAAATATAATGGATAATCTTTTATTGAGATTAATGAGCTCCTTGCCCCAGTCGTCGATAAAATCACTCCCGCCCGCCGGTGCGCGAGTACGTCGATAGTCGCAAGATGGCAACGACAACGTCCCGACATCGCTCGGTTCGCGCTTGCGCAATGCGCGCAAACGATTCATCAGTAGTGAAAAAGCGTTGTGTGTTGTACGAACAGAGTTATCACGGTGATGCGTGGTAAAATCGGTGTATCTGTTGCATCAAAAACGCGAATAATCGTGCACCGTGGTATTATGTAGTCACAGATATCGGCGTTTGATCGAAATTATGCGGAATTTTTGTCCGCGAACATGGTCGATCACCCGTACCGAATGAACGGAGAGGTTAAGAACTCGTTTTCCTCCGGCTTCGCCGAGAAGGTGCACCACGACTGGGTGAAATCGGAGAACCCGGAGACAATTGTGACGTGCAAGCAAACGAACGATGTGTTGATCTTCACGAATAAGAGTCTCTATTGCCGTTCGACCAGTAACAATGTAGTTTTCAGTTGGGACTTTCAGATCCTGGCGTGCGGTAAGTCTCCCTTTCCAACAATGTTTTGCATCCATATTTTTGTGAAAATTGATCGCCATTGGTTAACTCGTTGTTGCAATTAGATAACTTGATGATAAAATGATTAGTAATATTGGTAATATTATGGGCAATTGTCAAAGGATTATCAAACAACGTTACGGAGTAACATTGGTAGTTACATTGATAGATTTATGAAATCAGATACAGGTGTAGTAGTTGTCAAAAGGTTTGTTGCGCTCATTTAGGTAAACAGTTACAAAGAATAGTATTAACGCTGGACCAGAACCGAAGGAATTTCTCACTAAGATCTGTTATGCATAATACCACAAGTATCGGAATCACCAACGGCCAGGAATGGTACAATTCAGAATTGAAGAAGACAAATGGGAACGACAATTTGATAAAAGAGATGCATTACTTTGTCAAAATTTGCTTTGTTGCCAATAGATATGGCACGTACAGACAGAATGTCATTTTTTACTTTGGAGACTATCCAGTAATACTCCAAAGGATCTGCATGGATTGTTTGCCAACCAAAGACTTCACCAGGATTCACGAAGCGACCAATTACCAGTTCTCACAGAATCCAAAGACATGGAATAACGAAACGACTCAAATCTGCTGGTTTGAATCGCCTTTTGTGGCAGCGAAGGATCCAAAGGCAGACAAACTGTCCATGATCTATCCGTACCCAGATAGAAGTAACTTTTTCTTGACTCAAGAATCTCTCACGGATGATCGTCTAACGCCAGACAATTATAGAGGTCGTCTTCACGAATTGATTACTGTGGAGGAGCTGGCTAGACATGAACAGATAGCTAGATATAACGAGACTTCGTACATGCGTCTCCTCACTCACTATGTTTTGACTTCTGCTGGTGATGGGTCAACCATTGCCAAATATGCGCCACCTGGTGAGCTCTTTGCTCAGGTGCGGTTCATTTTAACAGTTATACTTTTCTCTCTCTTTTTCTCTATGCGCTTTTCTGTTACTTTTAGACAATGATCTCCAATTAGTTCTAGTACAATATAATCTCCTAATACACATAAGCTTGCGTTGTTTCTTTCTAACATATTTGTGTCGCGTTTTTTCTGTATGTAAAAAAAAAAGAAAAAAATTTGTATAACATAAAATATATAGAAACATATAAAAAATGATGAATTTTTACCACAGCTGCCGCTAAGCCGCAGTATCTCAGAGGATACGAAAAGCGGCAGGCTGTTCCTGAGAGGTTGCAATAAAGTGCTCTTCAAGTGTTTATCACCATCCTCGAAAATAATATTCGAGGCGCACATAGAGGACAAGTGCACGCAGACGGTATACGTCAGACTGTCGAAAGAATGTGTGCACAAATTAAACTTGGTGGCCAACATGGATCTGCACGTGCAAGTGCAATTCTTATTGAACCGCTTGCCCTTCTGCGAATGGCACAAAACCGTGGATAGCTTGCCCGATATTGGCCTAGTGTTTCTAAACAAAGTTCATATGGATATGAAGGAGAGCAGCTTCATAGATCTGCTAAGCAGAAACGCTATCAATTTCAGATTTTCTTTGTTGAACGCGGAACAGAAAAGAGCACTGGCGGTAATAACCGTGTCCACCAAGATTTCCATGCCACCGATCTTGTTACTAGGGCCCTTTGGAACAGGGAAAACGTTCACCATTGCTCAGGCTTTACGGTTCTTGTTGACAAAGAACTCGGACTATAAGATCCTGTTGTGCACGCACAGCAACAGCGCGGCAGATCTCTATGTCAAGGAATTCTTCGACATTTGGTATAAATCTGAAAAGAATCCGCGACTGAAGCCAGTCAGAATTTATTACAAAGGTAGAGCCAGGAACACGGTACGTCAGACTGTCCGGAAGAAATAACGAACGCTCGATATCGAAGAGTTCCTTCTGCTCTCATTCCGCCATTTCAGGTACACCCAGTGGTTCAGGAGTACAGTCTAATGAAAGAGAACGGTACGTTTCGCAACCCGACCGAGGAAGACCTGAGGGATTGCGCTCTGATCGTGACCACCTTGGCCACGTCTAGCTCCCTCACCAGTTTGAACGTGTCGTTCACGCACATAGTGATCGACGAAGCGGCTCAGGCGTTGGAATGCGAGGTGCTGATACCTCTGGCACTGGCTACTCCGCAAACTCGTTTAGTCCTCGCCGGTGATCAGATGCAACTTGCGCCAGAAATATATAGCGATCTGGCCAACGAACGGGGCCTGGGTATAAGTTTATTGGAAAGGATCTACGGGATGTACCCGCAAGCCCATCCGTGCAGGATTCACCTGCACCAGAATTACCGTGCTCACGAGGACATCATCAAGTTCATCTCGGAGATGTTCTACGATGGAATCGTGAAGCCTGCTAACAAAACGTTGGTACAGCATCCCATATTAAAGCCCTTGACCTTTTACGCCGTTCAAGGCGTGGAAATACAGGTACGTTAATTAAGAAGATCTGGAGGATCGTATTGTCGTTGGGAATATATAGTTGGAACGAATGTAACAATTCACGAATGCTTGCAATTGTACCTGTTAATTAATATCTCCGTTGCATCAACACCGTCAGAAGAGTTTCTACCTTACACGCCAAACTCCACGCCGCACCACGTACCATATTTCCAGCGTTTCCAACTTAACCACGCGAGATCCGTATAACAGATTGTAGCGTATATTTCCTGATCCAACCGCAAATACCTGTTGCTTCATCTTCACCGCTGCACACCGGACACACCCCACTGTTGCTTGTTGAAACACACCCTCGACCAGCACGATATAACCTACAAAACACACACTTCCAGAATCGTCACCTAACAAGCTCGCCATCCTACCAAGAACTCACAATTCCGAGGCAGATCGTCTTCCCGCTCGACGTAACTCTGTTTCTTTTTTTGATTTCATCAGGACATCCATTCGACAGGCTACGCGAACATGAGCGAGGTGTACGAGCTGGTGAATCGCGTGCAGGAACTGCGAAACAATTGGCCGACCGACCGTTGGGGCATTTATGGCGAGAAGTCGATCGGCGTGCTCGTCTATTACGCGGAGCAGGTGCAGAGGATCCGCGCGGAGCTGAGGGAGCGCAGGATGATGGACGTGTCTGTGGAGAGAGTGCTAAACGTGCAGGGGAAACAGTTCACCGCCGTGTTCATCAGCACGGTGCGCACCAGGCATTGCTGTCGATACTCGGCGGAGAGGAACGTGAAGGACTATGGTTTCCTGACCAATCCCAGGCTCCTGAACACGGCCATGACACGTGCCAAGTGTCTGGTGGCGGTGGTGGGCGATCCTGTCGCTCTCTTCACTATCGGCTCCTGCAGGAAACTCTGGCAGGCATACCTGGAGATCGCTGATTTACACGGCATAGACAGGGAAACGCTGAAGCACCATCTGAGCCTGGTACCGGAGCTTCCGTTGATCGCACCGCTGAACCCGTTGGCCAGAGAGTTTATACCGAGAAGCAACTTCTGCATGGTGGAGTACGTGCCGGTTCCTATTATGTACCCGGTGTTTCATTATCCGTATTACTCCTCGTAGCGCCGGCGGGAATCCGCGTTGGAATCGAACGATTCGGTCGTTGTGCGTCGCCGTTCTTAACCGTTCCGACCTGGCTTTACTAAGTGCTTTACTTTTCTGTTCCTCCTTCTCTTTCTTTTCATTTCTTTTCTTTTCTCTCTCTCTCTCTCTCTCTCTCTCTCTCTCTCGCTTTCTCTCTCTCAATTTTGTCACGCCGGAAAAGAAAGTTGCATTTGTACAAACGATTGTTAATTTTTAAGACGACGATGGCTCCCGTAGTGGCAATTAACGAACGAAACGATTGAGAATTTTGTGAATTCGGTGCAGCACGGCTGATAATAATTGGGTTGGAAAGGTTGATAATCGACGATGTCTTATATATGTATATATATATATCTCTCTCTGTGTCGGTTTTTGGGATTACTAATCCATTGGAGTGTCTCTCTCTTTCTGTGAATAGATTTAAAAGAACTAACTAACTGTTGCTACATTAGATTGAATTTCTGTTCTTGGTCTTATGATGTGTCCTCGAAACTCGATGTCTATTATAGATTGTATCGTTTCGTTAACGTTTGGCCTCGCCTGTTTCTCAGAGATGCATCTGTTTTGGAGACTGTGCAGCTTATGTTACGACACCACACGTACCGATCTATTATAGAAATATATTTTTTACTAGTCCCACGTAGCCTGTGAATCTTTCAATCCCCTTCTCGATCCTCCTCTATAACGCGTCACGTTAAAGCGATGCTTCTCAAAGGTTAATCGTTTCTTTTATCATCAAGTAATAAAATTAAAAGATTTTCTCCTCTCAGCCAACTTTCCATTAACGAGATGTACCATTTGTTTTTCGTTTGTCAAACGTAACCGTTCAAGTTTAATCCAGTACAGAAAGAACAGAGAAAGAAATTTAATATAATTTATTTATTCAATAATCTGTAGTACTATACATATGACACTGTTATATATGATAACAACAATAATATAGAATAATAGACATTACTGGCATTAAAAGCGACGACATTTAAAACAATTACGTGATGTACCAGAATGACCTTTTCTTTTGTCTATCAAAACACAAAGCTGATAAGTTTCGTTGTCAAATGGCTAAAGCTAAGAGATCCTTTTCTCAGCTCATCTTTCCGCCGAGAAAATACTTCTCTTTTTCTTCGTACATTCGCCTACTAAAGTTCAACGCCATGTCCAATACTTATTAGCTTTATTTCCATTGAAGAAGAATTATAATTACACTATGCTCGCGCGTATCTTCATCTTAAAAAGACGGGTAATCAAATATTTGCTGACTCGGGCGGTATGAAACTGTGTATTCGTGCGAATGGCCGAGAATAAAGGGAACCAGTTTTCTAGACGGGGTGTGTGACACTAGTTTGCCCGCGCGGGTTTGCTATTCGCGGGCTGGAAGAGCCAAATGGTCACCGACGACCCTCGAACGACTGAAAAGGGAGGCGAAAGAGCGAAAAGCGGATGGCGCGTTTCTTTTGAAAACCGCGCCGCTTCTGTCCTTCACGCGTCGAGTGAATGCGGCCGCCGAACAAAGCCGCCTCGTTTATTTTTATTTTCGTAATTAAGGACTACTCCGGTGGTCCATTGTGGTTAGGTGGTCTTAGAAATTAAAAAAACAAAAAAACAAAAAAAAAAAAAAAGAAAGAAAGAAAAACAATCTATAGCAATTGCCCTCCGACTGCGTTTTTGTGTTTTTGTGTTTTCGTGTCAATTGGAATCGATTACTGTCAGAAGTGAATGCACGAAAATGTTCGATTGGTCTTTTATTGTGTTGGATTGAATTTTGTTTTTGTACCATTCTTCTTTTTTTTTTTTTTTCCTTTTTTCCTTTAATGTCGTACGGATTTTTACTTTGTCGGAGTAGCAATTGGATTGTCCTTCTTTGTCAAGTTGTTGTAGAGTCTATTCTAACTTGATTTCTATGTGTTCTTTTTTAGAAAACTTCCAGCAACTAACTGAAAAATGAGAAAAATGTGCGAGTAGGATAGAAAACTGACTGATCGCAGTAAGATTTGCGTGTATAATGTTTTTCCGCTTGCCACGGCTAACAACAGATTTATATTACTAAATAAATCAATTTTTTATAACTACTATAAAAAAAACCAATATTTACAATGGAACTCTACTTTTTTTATTCTAGTTAGCTTTTCACAACAAAGCACCCTTCTTCCAGAAAAAGCTCGTAACTAGCCTCCGAATATTTGTCCGTTTTTTGTAAAAAAAAAAAAAAAGAAAAAAAAAACAGTTCAACTTTAAAATTCGACGAGACGTTCAAATTCCTCCAGCTGTCCGCTCGCAAAAATATTCGCAGCCTATTTACATTAAAACCACCAACTGCAACGAATTTGTTTCACCAACGAATTGTCACGATGAACGGGGATCGTGTATCCTGCGTTGCTATAATTATTGTTATCGTCTGTTAGCACCGAGATAAGTTGTTCCCGATACGACACGTACGATGACTTGGCCGCGATAAAACAACGGGAGAAGAGGAAGAAGGGGGAGGATGAGGAGGGAGCGAGCGAGCGAGGGAATAAGCACTCGTAGTTAAACTCAATTTTCCCCTAACAAGAGGGTGTATCGCCGAGGGCATCGGCGGAATTCCAGCGATATTCTTGCTTTTTCTCTCTCTCTCTCTCTCTCTCTCTCGTGTAGCACGCTTGGACGACAAGTCGTGGAATTTATCTTGTTGTTTCCTCCCCTCCCCCGGGGAACATAGTAATTTTTTAATTTCACTCGCCCGGAATGTATCGCACGCATATTTTACCTGCCAGTTTGCTCATCACTTTTGATTACATTGCAGAGTACATTTTCCCCGAGCGTCCTGTTCGTTCGCTCGGGGACTTTATTTTTCTGGCCGCCTTTTTTACTTTTCTTTTCTTTTTTCCTTTTTTTTTTTTTTTTTTTTTTTTTCGTTACCAATTCGTTCGCGCGAGAGTTTCCATTCCTTTGTAAAAATGTTTACGATTCTTCTTTTTTACTCGTTGCCCGACGTACATGAACGTCTGGCAATTGCTCTTCAGTTGCATTTAGCCCCTTTTCTTAAATACCTTCTTTTGTTATTAGAATCCTTGCCTCGACTGTCTTTCGCAGCAGCCTGTGTCGTTTTGTTGTTACCCTGCGTTCTTTTTTTTCGTTTTATTCTTTTCCAGCTTCTTTTACACACAATCTTTTGATGGGATTTCCCTCGGAGTCCCTTCAACTCGCGGGAAGATTGCTTTCCCTGCACGTGGAAATTTTTCATCGTCGGAGAGGCATCTCATTATACAGCAAACTGGCAAACGTGATGTAAATTCGAAATTGACACGAGAGTAACTAAGAATGAAATTCTGTGAACGTCCACGGTGATGAAAGTCGTCGTCGAGAGTCAGTTTGTAAGAAATTTGGTATGAATAATAACTCGAACGATACGCGAGTCATTTCGTGAGAAACGGACAGGCTGGTTGCAGGTTGTTGTTGAGAATAATTTTAGAGAAAGTGACCATATTGAGTGACCACTTGGAGACTTGACCAAGGGGTAGTTGCAATGTTAGACCAGCTTTGAACACCATGCACTTGGAGAACTACGAGATGACACTTAACCTGGAATAACATCTGGTTACTGGCAAGTGCTTCGTCGCACTTGGGTTGACGTTTCCTTAATAAGGGATATACACACGTGTATAATTCTCTTTGTTTCTACGTGTATTATTTTTCTCCATATTTATTTCATCCATTTACCTTGTCTCGTTCATTTACGTGATTCATTACTGTCTCATTAATTTCATCTGCACGTAGTCTATTAATTTCACATGTATATTTATCTCGCGCTGATCTTATCGATCGTATTTACGCATAATGTATACTAATTACACAGCGTCACTTGATTTTCTTCTAGTACGATAAAATAATTCAAAGTTTTAGGATATGTTAAATTAACATGTTAAATATGTTAAATTAATCTCGCGAAACGTTCACGTTCTAATTTTTCTAAGTTCCATCTTACTGTGCCATTTGTGCATTTAATCGAGAGTCTGTAAATATGTTTAACAGAAGATGACGACGTTAAAATTTCTAAATTTATCTTATCTTGTTAACAAACGAACTTGCAGAAGTAAATCGACGAAACAGAGAAATTGCCGGAAGAATAGAACAGATCAGTTTCCATTCTTCCAACCATTTTTCCAATCGCTCGACAAAACGTAAAGTCAAACGTAAAATTCCAAAAGGACGTCGTTGCACGTCGTAGCGACACGACACGTCTCGTCGTTCAAAGTCCATATCCGCGACATATATTCCGTCTGTAAACCAAACAAGTTGCTATAATCAACGTGAAATCGATTATCGAGCAAACAACGTACCACTACATTAGCAGATTCACCGACGTTAACTTAGCTATGATCACGTATTATCGCAGCGTTTCAGTGATACCCGGAATTACGCGACCGATCAATACGGTAAAGACGTATTACGTCTCTCAACTCGCAGGCTAATACTCTTGGCACGATCGTTGCACGAGTAAGAAGACGCGGTTGAGTGTAAGTGGTACACACCTCGGCGCACAAAAGGCCGAAGAATATTACCGGAGCGCGTTCGAAGGAGCCAGATAGGCCTCGCTGGTTCTTAGCCGAACCATCATGTTCTCGGCTTAGTGGTAAAACGATGAAATATTACAGGGTCGTATTGGTAGCCGTTCTTTAACGGCCTGTCGCCTCGTTCCTGTTGCCCCCTCTTCGTACACTTCTCAAATACATTATTGCGCAGGGTGTCTGCGAGCAAGATAAACTTCTTGCATCTCGTTTCTTCATGGAGAGGTGTCATCACGACGCGAGTTACAAAAATTAATGGGAGAATTTAACCCTGGTTCGCGGACCGTAACGAGTGATTCGTCGCTTTCTTTTTCATTCGAACTCGCCGGTGTGATAGAAATTATTCCGAAGTAATAAATTTATTATTTGTTTTGCCTGAGTTATACTTAAATATACTTGAAGCTGAGAAGATGTTGCAATTTGGGACACAAAAAAAATTCTCGACGTGCGTGAGTCAAGCGCAGAAGGTTAATTCCTTGCGCTGGCAACCGATTTGCGGACCATAACGAGTGACCGAACCGTCGCTTTCTTTTTCTTTCGAGCTTGTCGGTGCGATGTCACTGAACAGAAATTATTCAGAAGTGATAAATTTATCGTTTATTTCGCCTGGGTTATATTTAAATTAATAATTATTAACATTTAAATTTCAAATTAATAAACTAATAATTAAATTATATTTAAAACTGAGAGAATGTTGCAATTTGGGACAAAAACATTCTCGACGTGCGTGGCACGTCATTCAAGCACAAGAGATTAACTCCTTGCGCTGGCAACCGATTTGCGGACCATAACGAGCGACCGAACCGTATACAATAGATTCGTCGCTTTCTTTTCCTTTCGAACTCGTGGATACGATGTCACTGGATAGAAATTATTCAGAGGTAATAAATTTATTATTTGCGTGTGTGTTTCGCCTGGGTCATACTTGGATATACTTAAAACTGAGGAACTATTGCAATTTTGGGATCAAAAAATTCTCGACGTGCGTGGCACGTCATTCCAGCGCAAGAGGTTAACCACTTGGCGCTGGCAACTGATTGCGGACCATAACGAGAGGCCAAACCGCATACGATAATTCGTCGCTTTCTTTTTCTTTTA